ATGATTGATCTCGCAATTGCGAGATCTGAGGCCTGCAACAAAAACTGAAGCACACCAGCAATGCTCTAAGTCCAAATTCACTCCGTAGCCTATCCGAAACTCACCCGAACCCTCGGGGCTCCAAACCAAACATGCACACAAGTCCTAAAACATCATATGAACTTGCTCGCGCGATCAAATCGCCAAAATAACACCTAGAACTATGAATCGGACACCAAAATCAAATGAAATTTTGAAGAAACTTTAGAATTGTTATATTAACAACCGGACGTCCGAATCACGTCAAACCAACTTCGTTTCTCACCAAATTTGACAGACAAGTCATAAATATAGTATTGGACCTATACCGGGTTCCGGAACCAAAATACGGACCCGATATCCAAAAAGTCAAACATTTCAAAATCATTAAACCTTTAACTTTCAAATTTCAACAAAGTCCGATAACTCGGGCTAGAGACTTCCGAATTCGATTCCGGGCATACACCCAAGTCCCAAATCACGATATGGACCCACCGGGACTGTCAAAACACGAATCCGGGTCCGTTTGCTCAAAACGTTGACCGAAGTCAACTCAAATGGATTTCAAAGCAAAATTTCATATTTTTCACAGTTTTTAACATAAAAGCTTTCCGGAAACACACCCGGACTGCGCACGCAAATCGAGGAGGGTAAAAATGAAATTTTTAAGGCTTCAAAGCGTAGAATTAGGTTCTAAAACATAAGATGACCTATCGGGTTATCACAAATCCCTTTCTTCTTTGAATCTCTACTGTCTGTTTAGCTTTCTTAAAATTTTGCTGTGATGGGAAGGAAATGCCCAGTAGCATTTGTCATTACGAAATCCTGCATTCTTCCAATGTTGCAAAGAAATAGTTCCTTTTTAAATGAAACGATACGCGTGTAAATCACTCAAAGAAGTTATAAGTTAATCTATTGTAAACTATTTACTGAATTTTAACTACAAATCATAAAATAACTTATATTGAGAAAATTTTCTGTTATACAAATAATGTTGCTTCTAAGAGAACTGAATGGCCACTAGGCATGCAGGATAAATCGTAATGCTGGAATAGAAATGTGGAAAAAATATATCAAATGTAGTCTATTCTAACTTGAGGGATCGAAGGTTCTGCTTCTCAATAAAAGAAAAAGAAAAAAGAGAGACATGTAATGGAACAGCACTAAAGGCATCACAAACAATTCAACCAATTTTGCCATACGAAAATGACAATATAGAAGGCTTCCCAAGCGTAAGGATAGTGACACAACTAGAAAGTGACTCTTAATGTCCTTCCTGTGGGACTTAGGGTATTGCATGAGTAGCATGACTTTCTGCAAAGAATTTGGTCAAATTGACCTGACGAGCTTTTATTATGATTTATGAATTATCTCATTTTCTAATAATTTACCCCTCATTTTGCTGTGTCGTTAATATTTGGTTTCAATACCTATGAAGACATCCAAATGTACCGGTCTATGGGTGTGTGTAACCATGATGATTAGAAGTGTTAAATGGGGATGAGAGACAGACCTAAACTTACATGGAAAGAAAGTTTGTCCCAAAAGACCTATAATCTCTCAAAATCCATGCAAACTTAGCAGAAATAGAACAGAATGGAAGCAAAAGATCCATATAGGCGATATCAACTAGTTGGGGTTAAAGCTTAGTCACTATAATAGGCTAAAACTTGGTTCAGCGTTTGCTAGGATTCTTTTAGTTTAAAGATTTATGTGTTGGCAGAAATTGTAGTAAACCTCTAATATTAACTGTTGAATAATGAATACTGGAAATGGAATGATTCAAATTGAGTGAAATGGACAATCATGTAGCTTGAACCCAACTTCCTACGGGTTGAGGCATAGTTGTTATCCTCTTCGTTTCTGCGAGTTCATTCTGTAGATGCCATTTTAGCATATTAACCCATTAATTTTCCTTTGCTTCATGTGATATGCATTAGCACTCATTATGGTCTATCGACTGCCTACTTTTAAATGTCTTTGGCACAAATCAATAAAAATAATTTTCATTAGTGTCCGGAGCTAATTGTTTATTCTCTATTCAGGTCTCCAACCAGTTGAATAAGTTATACTTAAAGTTTCTTAAGAGGAATCCCGGTTATAGCGGAAAGGTATAGAGATGATTGAACATGCAAAGTTTTCTTTGCTTATTTTTTAAGAACTCAATGTAAACAGATCATATTAAAGATATTAAAATTTCATAAAATTTACAGATTTCCTTATATGGTCATTCCCTTGGGAGTGTCTTGTCATATGATATCCTATGCCACCAAATAAAACTTTCCTCCCCTTTTCCCATGGAGTGGTTGTACAAAGAACAAAATGAGGATAAATCATCTCAGCAGGATCAGAGCAACCTATCTTTCGACCACAACTCTGCCTCCCGTTTAGATGATGAAAGCTTTACTAGGGGAGAAAATAAGAGTAATCTGTCAGATAAAGACAAAATGAAGGCAGAACCGAGTTCCTCAGACCCCCTGGAAGCTTGTACAGAGGATTTCTGTCATCCAGTGGGTCCTCCTGCTTCATCAGACTCGGACGAACCAGTTGCAACCGATGATTTCAAGCAATCTAATGATTCCTCAGCGACTGAAAATTCTCGTGAACCTCCTATTGATTGGACTCATAATATCTATGAGAGGGACACGATAAATGATGCCGAGAAAATGGAAGATGCAATAGTTGAGTTTGATCAAAAGACAATTGATGAGGGAGCATCTGAAAGTGACAAAGATAGAACAATCACTTCACTGAGGGAAGAGGTAGTGGCATTTCATTTTCTGCATGAAATTTCTCATTTGTTTTAATCTGTTATATCTACTTATTTTCTTCCTCAATGAGACTGGTCCAGATTGATATGCTGAGAGCGAAAATCCAAGAGTTAGAATCTGAGTATGTAAAGAAAGGTACAGCTAGACAGAATAAATAACCATTTATGGAGCTTAGTTTTTAGCTTTCCAAAACTTCAAGCATATTTTCCTTGAGTATCAAAGTAAATGGACCTTATAAATTTCTTTTGGAATGGGATGTGTAATGTAAGCAGAAAATGGAGGAATAAACACAGTTACAAGAAATCAATCTACTTCTGAAAGGCTTTCTCATGAGGAGAGTGATTCACCGAAGAGTTATACTCCGCAAATAAGATACACAAAGTTGAAATTTAAGGTAATACTTCTCCATTGTAAGATTCTACTATTTCTGGGGTGGGTTTGGCAGGTCTTGGTTGGATGTTGCAGCTGGACTTTCAATGTTCTTTAAATGCTTCCAGAATAAAGTCGTTAACCTTATTGAAATCTTCATCACTCTAAATGCTTGTATTATGCTTTCATCATTTCTCTAGTAGAAGATGCTTTGCTATATAGTGTAATTATCAATTTTCTTTGAATCCATTAACTTGTTTCTGATAATTTGATCTTTTAATTTTCGTTGTTATTCTCCATTTGAGCTCCTCTAGGAGCTCCAAGACATCTTCTAACTTTGGCTGTTCCGTTCTTTGATTCTTTTATGAGAAGGTCGATACATATTTCGCTGTTGGATCCCCTCTTGGTGTTTTTCTTTCTCTTCGCAATGCTCGTATTGGGATCGGTAATTCTTCTACTGCCTATATTTAAGTGCATGTTGATTTTATTGCTTATTTTTACTCTGAATCTTGTGGAGGGAGTAAGCCTATAAGGTTATTGTCTGTTTGCATGAATGTTTCAGTAAGACATCTAGTGTTAGTTTTCATAGATCAACTAAGTTTACTTTAACTAACATCAAAATCCGCTGACCTGTGTGCAGTGTCAACCTAATCTTTGTTTATCATGCAGCAGAAAGATTATCCTTCTTTTTACTTGAGTAACATTAAGAAATGTTTGTCAACTCCTCCTGGGGCATTGTGTTGCCTTTAGTTTTGCAAGTTCCAAGTATCCTATGGATCCTATAAACTCTGTATGTTGGCGGTGGCTGGTGTCTTTTGATGCCTTGTTTACTTATATGGGGGACATCTAAACTCATTTTCTTTTGTTGGTACTAGGCAACTCAAGTTTGGAGTATGAAATATGCCAGTTCTTTTCTTCTCTCTGTTAAAGATGGTGGTGCATCTGGTTGCACTTAGTTATCATTTTTTATTTTCTGTTTTATCCTGGTATGGCAGGCAAGGGGAATGATTACTGGGAAGAGGATAACATACTTGAAGAGATGCCGGCTTGTCGACAAATGTTCAACATTTTCCACCCTTGTGATCCCGTGGCATACAGGTTTCATAGTCGACATTGTTGCTATGTTTTGTCAATTTTTTTGTTAAACAAGCTCATGCCTGCTTCTCTCCTAGTTCAGATTAGAACCACTTGTCTGTAAAGAATATCTCAACAAACGCCCCGTCATAATACCCTATCACAGAGGTGGGAAACGACTGCATATTGGTTTTCAGGTAAGGCCTCCATAGTAACATAATTAACGTGTTAGGTTCCTTATACCATCTGTATTAATGTGCATCCTATTACTGTTTGGTGCAGGAATTTAAAGAAGAAGTAGCTTTGCGTTCACAGGCTTTTGCGAACAATATAAATTCTGTAAAGGTGTGTTTTTAATTTTTCTCCCTAGTTGTTTGTGTTACGATACAGGGTTGTATGTTTAATTGAGATGATAAGATTTTATATCACTCATTAAGAAGTTTGATGTCCTGTAACCTTGCAAAGATAGACACATGAAGAGTTAAATCTTCGGCTTGCTGCTAATGTCTTATGCTGGTTGAATTACAAATGACCTTAATAGATTTCAGAGAATAGCTGTTTAAAGTAGAGATCCTCGTATGACCTTACAATATCAATGAATGGCTGGTTAAACTAGAGATCCTTGCTGACTTGATTGCTTGAAATGGAGAACAGTTATTTGTTTCGTTTTATATCAGCTTAGTGTTGAAACCATGAACTGAACGACTTGGATTATGCTTCTATAACTTGATATTCTCCTTCCAATTATCATGCTGAAAATGTGTCTTCTTCATATATAGCTTTTTATGACATGCTTTTTTTCCCACAAGTGCGAAGCTTTGAATCTTTAAATATCATCATATCTGTGGGGGAAAGGAGGTTTCCACGTTTTCTTTTTCCTCCCTATTTGGTTGGTGTGGCGTGAACTCATCTGTCATTGAAAGTCATTTACATAAGATTGGTGGATTTGCTCGTTTTAGTGTTAGCCTTATTTTCTATGGTTAGTTTATGGTTTTCTATTAGGTCTCATGATGCCAATGAGTTTTGGATCTTAATGACAATTTTTAATCAGGTAAAGGTGATTACTCTTTGTCAATCAAGATACAACGATGGCGAAGATGGTAATAGAAGCAAGCATTTCTTATTCGTCTGCTTTCTTCCTTTTAGATTATAGAAGTTCCTCTTCCTTTTTCTCAGTCACAGAAGCTATCAGCTCTAATTCAAGCTGGAGCCTCCATCTCCCCCAAAAAACAAAAAAAACACTTTAGCTTCCTATCTTTCTAGGTACTGATGTGGCACTTTTTTGCAGAGGAGTCCCAAGAGTACCAGGAGAAAGAAGAGAGGTCGTATGGTTCAATTATGATGGAGAGATTAACTGGAAGTGAAGATGGTCGAATAGATCATGTTTTACAAGTACGTTCATTTGCCATTAGACCTTGCAATTTACATTTTGTCTTCCCAGCTTCTTGTTCAATTGAAGGCTTAATATTTTGTGTGTGGGTTCTTTCCTTCTACATGGCTATTCTTCTTGATTTTTCTACCCTTTCATTGTTTTCACTGTAGCCGTTCTAGTCATTTGGTGTTCATACCCTGATATGTATGCTTCATAGATGCGGACACCACTGGCTTGTATTCATGTGGTCCCTTAGAAAGTAAATAGCAATTTACAATGCCAAGTTATCTTTCATTTATGGTCACACATTGGTTGATGATGTGTTGTTGTATCCTTATATAATTCAGATAGTTTTCACCTCATGAGCTAACTTTTGGGGTTGAGTTAGGTACAACTTCTCTTTTCTTAACATGGTATTAGAGGGATATTTAGGTTCAAGGTTCATTTTCTTAAGATGGTGTTAGCGAAAACACATGTATTCTTGGTTTACCCAATGTTGGAGCCCCAATGTTATGTTGTCCATGTGTGGGGAGTTTTAAATATCCCACATTGGTTGAGGGAATAGACTGTTGTCTCCTTATGGTGCTGAGCAATTCTCATCTTACGAGCTAGCTTTTACGGTCGAGTTAGGCCCAAGGTCCATTTTCTATACATGGTATCAAGCCAAACCCATCCTTATTCTTGATCATGCTATTTTGTCTGCGCTCTAAATGCCCGGTGAAAAAATTGCTACTTGCACATTTGCTTTTCCCTAGAAAAAATAAGGAATAACTTCTAATTGCTCATTTGCAGCAGAAAATCTTTCATAAGAAAAAACTAATTGTCGAGTTCCCACATCGGTAGGGATGTAGATCATTTGCCTCCTTATATGTTCTCGGGCAATGTTTAGTGGATTGTTAGCTCTGGCTAGACAACACTGGAGGAAATTTTATCCAATATTTAATTCATAGTTTAGGTGTAATTTTTTTCTTCTACTTGATAGTCCTGTTTCATTTGTTCAATTTTAACTTGAACAATCTTATATTTGGTCACAGTTAAGTGGAGAAGGGTAGAGGGGCAGACCTATTATCCTCCGAGTTTCGAACCGTGCACCACTAGCCCTCGGGGATTTTTTGATTACTGGAAAAAATCAATTCCTAGCCGATTAAAATCCCAACCTCTTCTAGTTTGGTTTTTGGCATAAAATCGTCAACAAATCAATTGAGAATTGAATCTAGATTGCAGCTTAGGAAGTTATCCAGACTTCTAGAGGTTTTGGCCAACATTGTAGACTGAGCTATGCAAGCAATTATTTGAAGTTCTAACTTCTATATCATTTAGGCGCTTATCTCTTTTATATTTGGGAAAACTAATTAAACTTCATGGAAAAAATTATTTTTTTCTTTTCTCCTTAATTAACTTGTCAAAACCAATGAGTACTCATGGCTATCTGTTGGTGTCTAAAACAAGATTGAGCAAAAGCACTGTTGGTTTGCTTTACTCTGGATCTCAAAGATTTTACTACATAAATCATCGATCACCTCTCTTTTCTTGTTCATCTCTTGGGTTATTCACTCTAGGTATGGAGTACAAGGAGAAGTAGTTTGGACAAGGACTAGGCTGATGAAAGGACCCTCCATCTTCAACCTTGAGGTTGGAGATCTGAATCACTAAGCGAGCAATGTGAGAAAGGGCCACTGTTGACTCCTAAGTCGAAGCAGTTTGGTTGGTGGGGTTTACCATATTGGAAAGGGGGCGAAACCCCGAGGAAAAGAAATTTGGACCTTGTCCTCTTACTTAAACGAGCTAATGAGCTTTGTAGAGCTTTCAGAAATCGGACAATTATCTCCTTTACACTTATTAGTTTCGCGAATGAGCTTTGTAGAGCTTTGGGAAATCTGACAGTTATCTCCTTTACACTAATTAGTTTTAGCAGGAGGTGGCTTTGCTATTTTAAATCCAAAAAAAACTTGATGGCCGGAAGTTTTGGGACTTCACATTCTCCACATGTAAAATAAGGTGGTGAGCATGTCATTTGAATCGATAAACTGGACATTCCAAGCAGAATTCTCAACATTGAGTAATTATCTGGTTGAAAATGCAGAGCAAGTGGTGAATTGTAGAATTGCACAAGTCCCAGTTATGTTAAGGAAGGAGATCTCGATTAGCTAGTTCTCCTCAATGGGTTTGCATGTGCCAAGGTAGGTGAAAAACTGTTTATCCAAGGGGAGTCATACAAGAGAGTGCTGACAGGCTCAGATAGGGAATGGGTTGAACAGAATTGTTCTCCATGGTGACTCAGATGGTGAATGGGTCAATTGGAATTGGTTCTCAACATGTTTACTGTTGCTTGACTCAGCTTTTGCAGAAGCTTTATCACCTAACTATATTACAAATTCTTGTGCGCTCAGAATTGGTAAAATCTCGCATTGAATGGAAAACAAAATATTCTGCTTTATTATCTGTTAATGTTGTGCACTTCAGTTCTAGATCCAGCAAACTAGATCCAAGTTGTTGTTCTTTTTGAAATCCACATGATTGTAAAAATGAACTTAAGTCTTGTAGCCGTTTCCAAATCCACATGATGAATTGAACTTCATTTTGTGTGAGTACATCAGTTTTTTTAAGTATAAATATGTTTGTACATATCATATGGTTTTTCGCATGTGTTTCTTTCATTAACAACTGGCAGTGTCCGTGCGTTACTGTGTTTTATACTTACCAGTCCCAATTGCCTTTTGTTTTTATCTGTTCTTTCGCAGGATAAAACATTTAGGCATGCATACATTTCAACCCTTGGAGCGCACACGTAAGTATCCTTATCAACCTAATAGAGTCAATTAAATCAATTGCATGTTTCCCCTTAATACTAATTGAAAGTGCTTTTAGAAACTAAAAACTTCTCTTTGCACAAATGAAGAAACTGTTGATGTTCTAAAGTGTTTTAGTGACAAATAATCTTCTCTGTGCTCTAGTGTCTTTTCATATTTTAAAACTTGTATAATATGCAAAATGACAACAGTTCTGGAGGAGTCTGAATTAAGTATTAGAGACAGAAGTGCTTAATGGTTATGGCAGTTCAACCAGTGTCAACATGCTCCACTACTTAAGGTCCTTCCCTTTGGAATTTCCAGTACTTCTCGCTACAAATTTTCTCTCATTAAGGAACTCCTTCAAATCTTTCCTTGTCATAGCGGACATTTTCTGTAACTCAATATAGTTTTCTTATGCAATGGGGAACCTGATAGACTCGTTAATTAAAGCTCTCAAAGAAAAAAATATGAATTTCTCTGTTTTGTGGCTGTGTCAATCGAACTTTTTGGAAGCAAAATTTGTCCAGGACGGTTTCGCTGTTGGCTAGAATGCATGTTTAAGTCAACCATCCTTGTCAATCATAGAGCTCGATCGAGCAGAAGTTTGGTCAATTTATCCTAGAAGCTTTTTCTTCCTTGTCATCCTAGTTACCTACTGGATCTAGAAATCAGATTTTTCATCATTTAGATCTTCGGAAAAAAGCATATTTAAATTGGTTTTCCCTTGAATTTGTTTAGTTTGCAAACCTGAAAGTAAGTCATTGTATAACGAAAGTTGACTTGTGTTCAGACATGAATTTCATTTGGAATAAGAATGAGTTTTCTTAGTGAAAACCATTATTTCACTTAAAATACTCATCAAATTTTCAACTTCAAATTCTCTATTTCAAGTAGATATGGACAAAATTGTAAAACGAACATTGGTTTGCAAATAATGTATTTCCAAACACCTACTTAATTGAGCAGTTAGCTAATCAGAAAACGTACGTTTGACTTTCTGTGTATAATGAACCCTGACATATTCTAGTAGCATGTATGTGGGCTTTTTTCTTCTTATTTTCCCTTGTTTGTTGACCAAGGAGAATGTGGTCTCATGTTGCCTATCCTGTATAATTTTCTGGCCTCGGATTCCTTTAGGAGATTGTTGAAGCTTCTTGAGTCATAACCAACATTTCTTTCGAATAAGCTTGGTATACTTACATTGTTGCCAGCCTTTCACACATCCTTGGACAACTCTGTTAATAGTCTCATATTTTCAAATGCCATTTGTTGCATTCTTCTACATAGATGGGAAGGTGTCACGACCCAATTTTCCCTACGGTGGGTGTCGTGATGGCACCTAGTATTAGGGACTAGGTAAGCCTAACATTAGCCGAATAATAACAATAATTAAATAACATCTAACAATTTATGAAATAGAAACCTCTATAAAATTTACAATTCCCAAAATCGGTAGTACAAGTCATAAACTCTACGGAGTTTGCTACAATTTTCTAAATACAACTGTTTGAAATAAAGTAAACAGTGTGAATACAAATCAGAAGGTGACTCTGAAGCCTGCGAACGCAGCAACAAGTTTACCTTGAGTCTCCACAGCAACACTCTGCACCGCTAGCTAATGATCAACTGACTTCGAAATACCTGGGTCTGCACAAAAATGTGCAGAAGTGCAGTATGAGTACACCACGACGGTACCCATCAAGTATCAAGACTAACCTCAGTGGAGTAGTGACGAGGTACAGTCAAGACACCTACTGAACTAAATAACCTGAACAAGTATAAGTATAGGAACAACAGAGTATGATATCTACATAAATACTACGCAAAATGGCAAATGATATGGTAATTTCAGTAAGAAAGAAAAACAACTATCAGCGAAATACAATAATAATGACACAGTAGATGTACGGAAACACGGTCTAAATTCGGTGATCACAAATAAATGAAAGGCAAATAACAACTCAACAAAACGACCGCTTTCACACCGGGTTTTAGCCAATAACCTCCACGAGGTACCGAACCTCAGAATATTCACAACTTACGGGTCCCAATTCCTGAACCCTAACACTTAGCATCTTGTGCTCTCATTATAATTTATAACCGCACTGACGACTCACGTGCCAAATAGAGTCATTCTCACATAGAAGGCAAGTAAACAAGGGCGTGCATCTATACTCAACAATATCAAGAAAATCTCTTAACCGATAAGAGTGCTTAACTACGTGTATGCTTGTGCAAGTGTCTAACATAGTTCATGCCAGCTAGTAAGTTTAGGAAAAGAAATGGACAGCACGTAGAATGTTTTCCCACAACTTTCCACAAGATAAAGCTCACACCATTACACAAATATCAACAACAAGAATGCCCCCAGGCCATCACAAGTCATCACAAATCAATCCCTGACATCGCCCACGTAGTCTCGCCACGTGTGCAATAATAAAGTAAATGTCCGCCTTGTCTCGCTACACGTGCATAATAATGTTCCCATCTTGTCTCGCCACATGTGCAACCCACATATATATAGCCTACCTTGTCACGCCGCATGTGCAAATATCAATATTAACAATAGCACGGCAGAAACCTCGTGCAACCCAATAACACTCGCACGACAGAAACCTCGTGCATCACAATAACAACAACCGCACGGCAGAAACCTCATGCATCACCACAACAAGTACAACAGCAACCATGACAATAATACAAGGGTACGACAAATAAGTCAACTCAGAAATTTCAGAACTCAAAGAAACGGAGGAACTAATTCACAAGGAGTAGCCACAATAGAGAATGCTAATCATAATAAGAACAACTCAACAAGAAAGGAAATACTATGTAACAACGGTCCATAATATACAGTTCGACAACGAGGGAGCTAACACAAGTCGAATAATTCCAAATAAGGACAAGTCAGCTAAATTATAGGATATCTAACTTCTTTTAAGGTTGGGTAATTAGGAAAGAGAACAACAAATTCAATAAGGATAAGCAACAGAAAGATAATCATTACCTCAATTAAGGGTGAACAATTTTTTTGATAAGGTAAATTGTATTAATCAAAAGGGAGAGAACTCCCGTGTACACGAAGTATACCAAAGACGTAGAGAATTTACATCAGAACATGATTCTCTACAAAAGACGCCCAATCTTTTATACAAGTAGGGGCTAAATGAGTGCACCAAAAAGGCGATCAAAGATAAAAGACTATTCTTAAGATGTGAAAAAGGAGACTCAAACTCCTCAAAAGCTCTCCTATTTCTCTCCCCCCATACTACCCACATGAGAGCTAACGGGGCGAATTTCCACGCCTTTTGCTTTCTTCTTCTACGAAAAC